AGGAAACTGAAACAAACAGGTTTAGTGACTTGCCCAGGGTCACACAGCTAGTAAGTGACTGATTTGAACTCAGATCTTCCTGATCTCAGCCGGGTGCTCTATCTATCCAATGTGCCATCTAAATAAATATAAGATGGTGTTATCTTTGCAGTCTAGCTGGGAAAATAGAACTAACTCCTGTGGAACAGTGAGGGAATGGTGGAGGGCTGAGCTTTGTAGTCCAAGAAGAGCTCAGAGAGGAGAGAGAGCAGCATGGGCTCCTTCCCTTAATGTTTCTATAGCCCCTTGATTTTCTCAAAGATTTTTATTTAGTTAAAAAAACATGGCTTGTTTTTGTTTTGTTTCACTGTGTATTTGTTCTTATTTTCAGCGGCACAGATGGCCTCATCTCCCTTCAATTTGTTGCTCTGGGTGTCTTTGCACAAGTTAGGTTCAGGAGACCCCTGAAGCATGTCTCCCTGGCATGTAGCAGCTAGCTGGCCCTTCTTCTTGCCTCCTCCCTGCATATGGCAAACAAACAGGAATGGCGCCAGTTTTTGTTGGCTGACTCTGGGTAAGAGGTCAAATTCTTCCCAGAAAAGACTTTTTAGGAGATGAATTTGTTGTTTCAGAACCAGGGAACCACGAGGTGGTTGAGTTTCGGCTGCTTTCTCCCCCTCCCCCACCCCCACCTCCCCCCACAGGCATCCCACTCTGACTGGTCTGATTCTCCAAAGTTCAGTGTTTCCAGTTAAAGTAGACTTGGGGAGGGGTCCGGGCATGGAAGGAGGCCATAAGACAAGCCCAGTATCAGCTGCTCATCACCTTCCTTTAAACCCTTGCAAAAGGTGGTGCCTGTCAGTCTCCATTCCCCTAGGTTCTCACAAACTCTTCATTCTTGTGGAGTTGAAATATAGGAGTACCAAGTTAGTCCAGCTGCTGAGTGGAGGGCGCTAGAGGTGGACAAGGAACAGTTATCTCTCTCTACTCCTTGCATTGGAAATGGTCCCCGATGCCTGCTCCATAGCTGGCTCGCCTCGTCTCTGCAAGCAAGTCTGTTGTCGGTTTAGTTTGTAAGCTAATGAGGGCAAAGTGTGAGCCACAGGCAATGATGCTGTGATATTAGCTGTGACAGGGAGCTTGATCATAATTATCTTAACGAGGATAGGGTTAATTACAGTGGAAACTTAAAAGTTCTCTCTGTTTGAATCAGCTGGAGCCGAATGCCTTGTGATGTTTTTATCATTCTGATGTGACTTTGGAAATCACAGTCGAAGTCTCCTGGCAGCAGCTGGGGCTCCCGTGGGAGCCAGGCTGGAGCCCTGCGACGAGGTAACCGAGATGGTACCTGTGGGTGAGATAATGGGCAGCTTTTGTATCATTAGAGCGAGGAAGAAAGCAACCTGAGCGAGGAAGAAAGCAACCTGCCAGTGTACTTCCGCGGTTGTTTATTAGATTTCCAGAGCAGCTCTACCTGCCTGACGCTGGGCCCTTCCATTACAGCCAGCAAACCAACGGGCGGGCTTTGATTTCCTGAGTGTGGGAAGCCCCTGCTACAGCTGGCAGGACCCAGGCTGCGATGGTGATGAGCTAGAGCCCCCATCCCAGCTAGAGGGTTAGGTTCATTCCAGGAAAGTGGCAAATAGAGAGGTGTCTCCCTCCATGTATTTCTTTCTCATTTTAGACCAAGTAAGAGTCAAAAAACATCAATCTTCTCTTAAATATCTTCTTAAATATCATCAATGGATGTATTTGGTGTGCATTTTGACGTTAAGAACACTGTGTAACAGATGAGAAATTTTTTTTGGGGGGGGGAGTTGTTTCTTTATCTTCTGTCCCTTAGCTACCTTCAGAGAAATTATATATACATACATACATATGTATATAATGCCACATACACACATACATGCATATGTATATAGTGCTACATACATACCTACATACACATGTGTGTATTGCTATGTATGTGCATGTAGTGTAACCTTGAAGCATTTTCTTTCCTGCACTTTCATTCAATAACATCCATAGCCATACCCAAATATTGCATGAAGGTATATTAACCCAAAAGACCAATACAGACAAGAGGACCTCCAAGGCATCCTCCTTCCCCTTTCCCTCCTAGGACCCACAGGCTTAAATTTGTTAATTGTTTCTCTCTGCTCCATCCAGGCTGCAACAATCTTGCCTTTCCCTCTCTGCCCCCCTCGCTTACTGCCCTTTCCCCTGCCTGCCTCCCCTGCCCCCAGTCCCCAGGCTCGGAATTTAGCTGATTAAATCACTAAGCTCGAACTGCACTGATGACATGAAAACAACAATTAATAAGCAACCCCCCGTGTAACACAGCTCCCTTTTAACTGAGCAGCTAATAACATTACATGGCAAAAAAGCTCCAAACCAGACAGGTGTAAAGGGATTTGAGTCCAATTTTCCCAGCCCCTCTCGGAAAGCCCTCACCACTATTGTGCTTCTCCTGCCAGGGCTCTGGGGAAAGAATGGCTGTTTCACCAGGCAACTCCCTCTAGTGTTCCTGGGGCTTTGTCCCTCTGCATGCTCTGTCATCTTGTTTTATGCTCCCCTGCACTACTTTGGGGTCCAGCTTTCATCTCCTTGCCAGTTGCCGATTCTCATGATAAGAGTATTATATTTGCATAACATAACTCAGGGACAATGTGTATTTTGCTGCTGACATTGACCAGAGCCCAACTGATGTTTCTGCACAAAGGACTTATTAGCGTCCCATAAGGCTCGGTAGTGCTGACAGGGAGGTGGCCTGAACTCCCCTTGGCCGGCAGAGGCCTAATGCTGAAAAATGAGCATCAGAGATCATCCCTGATTAACCACTGATGGAGAGAGCCAGCAGGACCCGAGGGGGCATTGGACCTGGGCTCACTGGGGAAGGTTGGCCCAGACCGGTCTGGCCTAACCCATTCTGATGAGTGGGCTAGGCTTTTCCCTTTGGGTCCCTGTTTTGGGAAAACAAGAGTAGAGGGCTTTGCAAGGATCTGAAACCTCCCTTGGGTAGCATTTCACAAGTTTTGATTTTCCTTTCCAGACAAGAAGCGATACAAGCTTTGATTGTGGGGAACCTGGAAGTCAATGGTACAGGGACTGATTCTCTGAGTGAGGCTATCCTAGCATCATAGATTGAGAATCAGAAGGGAGGTCTGACCTTATCCTTCTGTAGATGAAGAAAGTGAAACCCAAAAGGTCCCATAAAAAATAAAATGGCCTTGGAAATTGGTCTAGCCTGACATTTTACAGGTGAGGAAAGTGGGTCAAATTACAGATGTGAAGCCAGCAGAGCCAGGATTTGAACCTGGGTCTTATAAATCTAAAGTCTGCTCTCTTTCTACATGAACAGCCATCAGTTTGGGGGTCATATTTGCATGGCAGCAGGGAAGCTGTAAACCCTGGGGACTTTGTGGGTATTAATTACTATCTGACAACTTGTTTGAAATCTCAGATTCTGGGTTTTGGTAGTGTTTCTAGCCCAGGGTCCTCATTCGTTACTGAGAAAATCCTCTATGCAAAAAGGTACATATGGGAAAACCTCCTTAGTGTAAGCGGCTTCAGAAAACGACTAAATAGTACAGACCGTATCTGCCTTATTCATCACATTTTATAAAACAGCCAGGAGATACAATGATAATCTTCCCTCTGGTCGGCATAGTGCATCAGCTGTCAGGCTGTGCAATCTCAGCATATCTCTAGGAGTCTGGTAGGTGAATGAGCTGTGAATATGGGTCTGTGTGTAAGCTCCCTATATCAGGCAGCCTTCTTTGATTAATGTGTGTGTGTGTGTGTGTGTGTGTGTGTGTGTGTGTGTGTTTGTATGTTGCAGCACCCTCCCCCCAAGGTCCCCCCTTCCCATCTAACCCAGTGAAATTAAGAGTTAACTTTCAACTCTAGAGTAAGAGCTTATTCCTTTTCTGACTTGTTTTTTTCAGTTGGCTGATTAACTCCCACAGATCTCAGCTTATTAACAACTTCAAGAGCCACATTTTGGGGTTCTAAACTTTTTTTTTTGAGAGAGATCTGCTTTCTATTAATTGAAACTCCAGCTGACACCAGGAAAGTCCGCTCAACTTTAAAGAGTTTCACCTCTACCTCCCCTCCTCAATATCCCCCCACTTCCCATTCCTACCCCCAACATCTCAGGCTGGAGTGATTCTGCAATCCTGCAGGGGCCTGGCGTCTAACGCGAGACACTGGGCCAGAGCAAATGAAGTGATGATTAAAACAAAAACACAACAGAAGGAGAGGTAAAAGGAGGGTGGGATGGGATGGGGTGGGGAGTGAAAAGAAGGCAAAGGGGAGCCCTCCCTACCATTTCCTATGATTGTACAGAGGGGAACTGCTCTGCAATGATAGCTGAAGTTGTATTTATTATTGTTAGAGGGGTATGATATTTCTGGGCAGGAATGATGGATGACAACTTAAATTTGTGTCCAGGGAATGAAGGTGAACTGTGACAGAGTTATTTATCTTGGGAATGGAGGTTAGGGTCAGGCGAGGCTGGGTGCCTGAAGGCACAAGACATTGACAAATTTATCCTGCAGGCCGTATCTGAAGGCCTTTGTTTGGGATTCTGGCTACTCACTAAGTGACCCTCATCCTTCATGCTGGCAATGCGTGAAGGATGTGGTGAGGTGCCAGAGGGGGCCCTCCCTGCTCCCCCACTCCCTCTACTAATTCTTGTCATTCACTCGCCTGACAGGCACCAAGCCCAAACTATTCCCAGTCCTGAAAGGGAAGGTTAAAATATTTATTTCGGCTCATAATGGCCTCTCTGATTTAGTGGCGGATCATTTTTCCCTGTGCCTTTGTCACTGCAGGTCACTGGAAGGACTGAGCGCATTCACGGGGCTGGAGGAGCTCATATTGGACAACAACCTTCTTGGAAACGACCTTGCGTTGCCAGGGTTACCCAGGCTCCATACCTTAACGCTCAACAAGAACCGAATATCCTTTGCACTACTGTCTACCCCTCGTCCAACCCCCCCCAAAAAAAAATGCCTTCGAAATGTCAGATGGGTTTTATGTGTCAGCTAAATTAAAGTATGTGAAATACGGGGCACCAGCAGACAAAGCGTTCCGTCTCTTGGCACTCGGGACACTTCAGAGTAATTTATTATAGGTCATTCATAAATGAAATGCACCATTATATCTTCCTGTTGCTCCATTTTAGTGTGGGGGATCTAAGTTATGGCTGTGGAGAAATCTTTTTAATAGATAAAAATAGAGAAAGAAAATAATGTCACACCGCTCAGCTTGGAAAGAGAAGCCGGGATGTTTGCTTAGGGATGTGTTGCGGGGCGACCTCTGGTGGCGAGTGCTGGGTAGTGACGCAGAGCAAACATCCCTCCCTTTGGGGACTTTCCCAGAATGAGGAAGGGGTGGCGGGGGGGGGGGGGGGGGGAAGCAGAGTGGAGAGGGGCTGGAGCAAGGAAGGGGACTTCAGAGGAGAAGGAGCCGTTGATGGTGAAGCTGTCCCGTCTCCCCAGGGGTGTCTGTGAGGAGAGCTGGTTAAAGCCAACTTTGCTTGAGGTTTCATGTTCTCCTGTGAAAAGAAAGCCAGGGATGTGGGCTGGAGACCTTAGAATCTGAGCTCAGATGGAGAGAGTGACGGGAAGGCAGAAAATCCACTGTACCCCTGGCCTGCTTATCATTTATACCTGAAGACCATAAGACATAGTGGTTTTGAGATGGGGAAAAACAAAACAAAACAAAACATAGAGAATATCTAGGCTAATCTCTTCATTTTACAAAGAAGGAAACTGAGGCATGAGGCAGTCAAGTATTTTCCCCAAGATCACAATTAGCTGGTAGTGGCTCCTAGTCTCATTCTTTCCCCCAACCCCCACTATTTTTTAGCCTTTGTTTTTACTTCATTTTATGTTTATTCTATCTGTATTTGAGGTCATTGTTGACTATCCTTATACTCTCATGGATCCAGGATCTCCTCAATGTGAATGTTCTCTGCATTCCCTGATGCAAATTGCAGCCTATCCAAATTTCCTCTTCGTTTCTGTCATTTATCCATGCCCTATAAAATTGTTCACGAAGGATCTGGTCAGTGTGCAGGAGACCTGCTTTTAAGTCTTTTAATATTTCATAGCTACAAATGCAACAATGTTCATCATGTTATAAGCTCCCTCTTGGGATAATAGATTTGGAGTTGGAAGGATCCTCAGAGTTGATCTAATTCAATTGTCTTCTTTTATGAATGAGGAAGAGAGCCCAAAGTGGGTGAATAATTTACCCAAGGCCCATATCAAAGGACATGAAGGGATTTTAACCCTTGGCTTCTCCTTCTGAATCTAGTGCTCCTTCCAGAATGCCCTTTTTTGATAAAGTTCTTTATGTTACATTTTGCTTGTAGTCATTATTGTTTTATATCCCCAGAATTTAGCACAATGCAGGGCACATAGTAGGTTATTTAATAAGTGTTTATTAAATTGAGTTGTTGCAGGCACCTTAATCTACCATGCTCACCATTGCCCTTAGGATGATTAGAATTTTGATTCATCTGAGATTATAGTGTTCCATGATGCACTGCAGGTAGGCTTTTGTGTTGGGGAGTACCATGTGATAATTGAAAGTGCTCCATAACCATTCAAATTTGGAACTTGTTTATTCATCTGAAATGCCATGGATGAGATATATGCCAGGGGGCTTTCTATTCAACTGCATGTTATGATTTGGGAAATATTCATGATTCATCCACTTATTTTTCCTGTGTGGATCGCTAGAATGATCTCTTTTGTGAATGGCCACGGAACTTATTGAAGTGGTCCTGTTGTATTCCAATCAGCCCCATCTCACGTGAAACAGGAACATCTCACCATGTCTAGGAAATGGCTTTTCTGCTTGGAATTTGTGTGAGTTATCCTCCATGACACTGGTGAATACCAGCAATGAGCATTTGGTTCCCTGCTTCATGCCTTGCTTGATACTGAAAATCATGAAATTGTAAAAAATAATGAAACTATGTTGTAACTGTCAAGGAATCTTTTATGGAGGAGCACACAAAGATGCCGATGTAGAGCTAGATGCAAAGGACCATTGAGTCCAACCCCCCCAATTTTGTAGATGAGGAAACTGAGGCATGAAAAATTTAAAGGACTTACCCAACCTCACACTAGTTATATGAATCAGGGAAGTTAGTGTTCTAGAGTTAGTTCTTTTTCCTCTGTACCATGCTGATCTTAATATATGCATGAGGCTATAATTGGCTCCACCAAGTCAAATGCTTTTTAAAAATTCCATAAACTATTAATACAGTAGGAACACATTCCCTATTCCACTCAGTCAACTATTTGACTAGGAAGATATGATCTGCTATAGAGAACAAGAACCTTCCTGTTCCCTTTTCATATATTTATCAAGGATACCCTTCATATATGTGTGGACTTTTCTCGTAATAGAAAGGAGGAAAATGGTATATGGATAGTAGGTGGGGATATCTGCTTAATTCCTTTTTGGGGAATAAAATCTTCCCCTTTTTGAAATATCTTGAACCTGGATCCCCAGCATGTTTAAAATTGTGTCACCTCAAGAACATATTTCTGTTATGTGTATTTGGGCAGACCCAGAATCTCTTTTTGAATCTGTATTAAGTCTTGCTGTCAATTACCATTTCCTCTTATAATACATTGGGCACTGGGCTATGATAATACGTATATGATGGTTCCACTATCATTAATGATGAGAATAGATTGTCATCATAATGGTGACAAATTTTTTCCATATCACATCAATTTGTAATCTTCCTCCCTATGTGAATTTATAGGGAAATTAAGCAAGTAAATCTTTGTACCTGCATTCAAAAAATCAAGTCCACAAATATAAGCTAGGGGATGCATAGATCAATCAATCAGTAAACATTTATGAAGTGCCTGCTATGTGCCAGGCACTGTACTAAATAGTGGGGGTACAAAAAAAAGGGCAAAAGATAGTACCTGCCCTCAAGGAGCTCACAGTGTAATGGATGGATAGATAGCAGTGTGGCACAACATGTAGAAGGCTGTCCTTGGAATCAGAACTACCTTGGTTTAAGTCTTATCTTTGACACAAAATAGCTGTGTGACCACAGGTAAGTCACATGAGCCCACAGTGTCCAAAGTGACTGTCTAAGTTTGCTAGTTATAGACAAGCTGTTGATGTGCATTGTTGGAAGGGATTTTCATGTTAGGAGTATGCCAAATAGATGCACACATGTATATGTTAACATGTGTCTTCTTTAGCTTACATCCTGGGACTAACTCTTCAATTTTCATTTGACGGTTAGGTACCCTGAGAACAAACTACCTAAGGTTCATGGTAGTCTTTGGGTTCATACCATAACCGGTACACTCACCTTTAATAGTCAGCTAGTGGACACAGTGAATTAAACACAAAGGCTTTTACTGGTAAACAAAGAGTAGCTATAATACATTTTTCCATAAACCTGGAACTTACTCTACAATAGCATCAGTGTAAAGAATACTCATATACATAGCATATACTTGTAGTAAGAGACAGATAGGGAATACATGTGACTACTTCTGCTACTAAAGGGTCCCAGTAGCCTTTCTTTTTTCGTGGCATCCTCATACTGTTCCCCAATGAGTTCAGTGCCTCTTTTGAGTAGGTCATTATGGTTTGGGCTTTTGCTCTCTGTAATGTAATTCCCAGCCACTAGGGCTAATTCTCTTATCAAATCCATAGCTGGATTTTTTTCTCTACTGCCAGGGGTCACACTCTTTAAAGCTGCCCCTTGCCTCGGCTCATTTCCACTGAAATCCTTCTGGGGTGTACTGTCTCTCATTGAGTGGGTAGCTCTAGCTATAAAGTATTATACCTGATGTGGGAAGGAGATGAGAAAAATTCTACTCGCTCTCCACTTACTGTCTCCACTTATCTTATTCGCTTGAGGGAAAAGGCAAAAGAATGATCCTTCTCAAGAGTTCATGACTTGCTGGTAGCTCTCTTCTCTTCTGCCATGGGTCACACTCCTCAGAGTTCACCACTGACTTCAGGGTTGGCAGCTTACTTTTTGAGGGTCATGATAAGAGTGAGCAATATCTGGCCAACCAATGGCAAGGTTCCCTCTTATTCCATCAAGTTTGCTTCAAGGTGCAGCTAGGTGGTGCAGTGGGTAGAGCAACCGGTCCTGAAATCAGGAGGACCTGAGTTCAAATCTGACCTCAGACCAACTACTTGATACTTACTAGCTGTGTGACCCTGGGCAAGTCATTTAACCCCAATTGCCTAAAAAAAATAAAAAAAAAGTTTGCTTCAAGAACTTTTTTTACTCTTCCCAAAGAAGATAACAAAGAATTAAAACTCATATATATATAGTCTATTATAGTATGGTATATATAAGTAGTATATATATAGTATATTATTATACGTAGTCTATTATAGTATAGTATATATATATATATATGTGGTGTGTATATACACATATGTAGTATATTATTAAAACTCTTAAAACCCTTTGTTACCTTAGCACCTCTCTGTCAGTATTCTCTGCCCTTTGCTTTCTATCATTGGAGTGGGGGCGGGGAATCAATTGAACAAAAGGGTTCTGATGGGCTACCCACACCAACTAATATGCTGTATATTATTTTGAAGGGAGAGTGAGGGAGGTAGGAGAGGAGAAACAGGGTGGGGAAAGGAGAGGGAGGGGAAGGGAGAGAGAGAAAGAAGAGAATTTCATAGTAGACACAAAAATTAAACAATTAAAAACAGAACAAAGAAAATAAATATATGCTTAGGAAAAGGTAGAGAAAAATTATAAGCAAAAGAAGCTGGAGGAGGAAGAAAGGAGAAGGAAGTTGGAACTAGCCACTTAACTGAGAGGAGAGAAAGAGAATGGGGAAAAGAAGGGAAGAAATAGACATAAATACAGAAAAGGAAAACAAATCAATATTTTTTTTTAAAAAGTCCCCAAACTAGGGAAAAGCTTGACAAATGGGTGAGAAAAGAGCCCGTGGGAATATGGTTTCATAAAGTATTTTAAAGAAAAATAATTATAGGAACAAAATACTGACTTAAAAGAGGAAGGGAAGAAATAATATATAAAAACAGTACTAGAGAAAGACATGGGAGAGAATTTAAAATAAGCCTAATTCTGATAATTTTAAATGTAAATAGACAGAACAATCCAATAAAACAAAAGAGAGTGGCAGACTGAATAAGAAAGCAAAACACTGCAATCTTTGTTTATAAGAAATACATCTAAAAGGAACAAAATTGCATAGAATCAAGATGAGAGACTGGAAAAATATTATCCTTCATGTAATTTCCAAAAAAGTAGTAGTTTCAATCATACTATCAAATACAGCAAAAAAAAGTAAAGATTCATAATAATCGGTTAAAATACCAAAGAAATGACGATAAACCAACATGCATGAAGTGGCTGTTATTAACTAAATTAATGACAGGAAAAGTGACTGAATTGCAAAAAACATACTAACACCAATATTAGGAAATTTTAGTGGTCTTCTCTCAGTATTAGACAGATCTAAAACAAAAATAAAAGAAAAAAATCTGGAGAAATTAGGTCTAAAAAATTAATGTTTTTAGCTTTTTTTTCTGGATGGGACCACTAAAGAATATACATGTAACTCAGCACCACATCTCATTTTTACAACAACAAACCAGATATTAAGGTACAGAGAAGTTGCAAATAAATCTTTATGATTTTTCAAAGATCATTAACAGTGGCTTAGAAATCCCATCTATCATTTCTTTTAAAGTTGTAGTTTATTTTAGCTAAGTCACTTGAAATCAAGGAAAGGTAGTTGTACTTTTTTGATCTTCTTATGTATCTTGGCTATCAGTGCCCTATTGCCCCCCCCCCCCCCTTTTTTCATTTTGCCATCCAAAGGCTATGTCCTTGGCAGAGAAAATAGAAGCAAAATAATGGAGTAGCTTTGCCTTTCTTTTTCATAAGTTATATTCCACACACCACAGCAGTGGCTCTATCCTTTCTTTGATGTTTTCCTTTTCCTCAATATAGCTAAAAATCATTTTATTGTTCTTAGCTTTCTTCATCAGTCTGAGTTTTCTAAACTTCAGAATTCCTGACACTTCACAGAGAACAATGTCACTTTAAAAAAATGAATATGCTCACCTGTCTTTGCTTCCACTTTCCGTACGTGTCTTCTTAAAATTCAAGTTGTTTGGTGAGTTCTCTACATGTCAATATTGGTTTCTAGACAATCTACCATTTTCCTTCTCATTGAAATTATTTTTCTTTGTATCTTCAGAATTTCTTTGTCAATACCATCCATTTCTCCTGGGCCGACATTCTCTACAGAAAAGTAGTAAACAGGATCTTAAGTACCTTTCCACATCCTTTAAAATCTACTCTCTTGATATATAGTATACATTTTCCTATCTTCCTGGTATGGAGGAAATTATGATGCTGGAGTAAAAGATGCTATTTAATTTATTAATGATCAATAGTTAAGTCAGTAATCATTTATCACATGCTTACTAAGTGCCAGTTACCGTGCAAAGCGCTAGGAATACAAAGTTCTAACTGGTGCCTGTTGGAGCATGGCCAAAAGGTTGGGAGCTCAAAAGCTTTGCCAGAGGACATGCACAGGTTCTACCAATGCAAGACATGGAAAGATTCTGTCCTGTACTAGTGAAGGGAGTATATATACTTGATCTATCATAAATAGTATGTCCTTCATAAAACATATACTATATATAAAAGTACATGCATACATACATGTATATACATATGTAAATAGAAATCAGTATATAATACATATATACACATTATATAGGTATACATATATACATACATGTATGTATATATGTATACATACACACATATATAACATTGTGTCTTCACCTGTCCCCAAGCTCAGTCATTACTTTCATATGGAAACCCTCCAGTAATGTTATATAGCATAATTTAAACTAACTTTTAGCCTGATATGGCCACAGGATGTAATTATCCCTGATGAGATGTTAGTGTTGACAAGGGATCAGCGCTCATCAACTTTCATTGATTGATTGAGTCAAATGGAGTAATACTATTGAAGAATCAGAAAATGGCTATGCCCTTGCAGGACTTAAGTAACAAGGGCCTGGAGACAGTTCAAGGCAGTTCTGGCAGGAGTGGACAGTAAAAAGAACCTAGCCCTTGCGAGGGAATCTCTGGGGATAGAGACAGCCAAGAGAGAATTGCCCCCTCCCCCACTGGCCATGGCATCTAGCCACAGATCTACTTGCCCAGAGTGAGACACTAACAGCGGGAAAGTCAGTTTGAGAGAGTTCAAGGCATACTTGAAGGAAGAAAGACAACCACTGTCCAGTCACAGACACATAGAAGTAGTCACTTGAACCTAGGAGCAGCTTTGAAGAGCAGAACCCCTGGCAGCATAGAAAAGAGCCATTCAAACATTCAAGAGACAGCTAGTCTTGGCAATTGAGAAGTGAGCTGTGAAGAACAGATCACAAGAGCCCAGCTGAAGGACTAGTCAAGGAGATATAGTATGCCCGAGGAGAACTTTGAGAGGACTTCACAAAGACAGAAAGGACTTTGAGGCCTGGTGTTAGTAGAAGAGTGAATAGCCTTGGCCATAGGTGTTTGTTACTTTTAAAATAGCAAAGTGAATAGAAAGCATGGGTGGTAAAACAAAAGAGCAAAGATGCAGGGCCTGTGTTTCAGGCCAATAGAAAAAAGAACACTTCGTTTGTTTACTTCATTTCTCAACAATGCTAATGGGATTCTTGAAGTATGCCTGGTGTTTGAACTTCTGTTTAGAATTATTAAACAGTTTCTGTAGCTTAGTGATCTCATCCATACTTTTCAAGTCTCGGCTTTCTGAAAGGCCACATCCTAAATCTCTACATTGTTCCTGTTGATATCATCAATTAAATTTGGTTCAATGGGCATTTATTAAGCCCTATGATGTGTACGTCTCTGGAGATAAAAAGACAAAAATGAATTAAAAGTCCCTATTTTCAAGCAGCTTATATCCTGCAGGGTAAAATAGTATGTAAACATGTAATAAAATATGGGAAAAATTGAGGGGGGAGAGAACACTAACCTAGCAGGATCACAAAAGGCCTTCTATAGAGGGTGCTGCCTCAGTTGAACCTTGAAAGAATTATGATGCTGGAGTAAAATACACAATTTAATTTATTTACCAATCCTAAATGGTGGTGGTGAGGAAGGAGAGCATTCCAGGCGTTGGGAAGTAGATAGTTCTAGGTAGAAAGGGAGAGAATAGAATACTGAGGTCACAGAACAGTAAGTAGACCAGTGTGTCTGGCATAGAGACCATATAGAGGGGAAAGATAGGAGATAAATCTTGAAAGGTGGGCTGTAGTCAGATTGCACAGGGCTTTAAATACCAAGCTAAGGAAAGGGAAATGACTTCTGCTTTAGATGATTGGTTTTGCTGGTGGATAGATGAGTGGATGAATTGGAGAAGAAAGAGACTGGAAACCCAGAGTTTAGTTGGGAGGCTGTTGTATTGATTAAGGTGGGAGATGATGAGTGTGTCATCCCAGCTGGAGTGGGTAAGGAGATATGGCCAGGTGATACACATCGTGTCTTCCATTCTTTTCCATCACTTTCTGGGCCATTCTTCCTCATGAGAGTGTCACCTTTTGAAAATTTCAATATTCAGTTTTATTTTCCTTTTCCCACACCTAGGCTCTGGATATAGGTGATGTTGGGAAAGGACAAATAGACAGTGAAATATACATTTGTTGTTCAGTCGTTTCAGTCATGACCCCTTTTGGAGTTTTATTGGCAAAGATACTGCTGTGGTTTCCCATTTCCTCCTCCAGCTCATTTTACAGATGAGGAAACTGAGGCAAACAGAGTTAAGTGACTTGCCCAGGGTCACATAGCTAGTAAGTGTCTGAGGTCACATTTGAACTCAGATCTTCCTGAGCCCAGCTTTCTATACACTGTGCCACCTAGCTACTCCTCAAAATATGTATCCTATGTCTGAAATAATTTGGGTTTTGATCCTGTTTGTTGACAGACTTACCTCAGTGATATACCCCTTCCCATGGGTATTTCTTAGCTTCTGTGGAGACCATCAGAACTAAAGAAGTCATATCTCATTGCATATCTAATAGCCTGAAAAATAGAGAATTATTTTACTTGAGGGAAAAAAAAAATTAGTTTGGGTGGGTAGATGTTGAAGTGATAGAAAAGACACTCCAACCATGGATGTTATCATGATAAGAGAAAAGAAGCTGATTCTTACCTCTCCCTGGCCTAGAAGAGGGGTACAACAGTGAGAGAAGACCCTGGAGGTAGGGGTTGGGTATTGTAGTACCATGTTTTGGTATGAGAGAGAAGCAGATATGGCAGTAACCACAGGGAGAAATTATGCCCGGCACATGATAGCACCCTGAAACAAAGCTCCCTTCATCTTGCTCTGGTTATAGCTCTGGTATCTAGCTTCCTAACATCTCCATGGTGAATCCTGGCACGTTCCTGTTGTGTATGTTAATTGAGGGTGGTACAGCAAATTGTGACTTTCTCATTCCTGGGCTAGGATCCTTAATTCTTTGACACATCACAGATTTGGAAGGGCTGCTGAACCATTTGGCAGAAGTAACACCTGCCCTGGAATATCTCAGCCTGTTAGGCAATATAGCTTGTCCCAATGAGCTGGTCAACTTGGAAAAGGATGAAGATGACTATAAGAGATACAGGTAATGCTCTTGGAACCCCGGAGTAGAGGACGAGGAAAACGATGTCTTTCCAGAGCTCCTATTGATTTGTGGACCGCACATATGATTTCATAAATTGCTGTTAAATTATTAATATTCTCAGTGGGCTAAAGGGCTGCCACAGATGAGAACCAGTGCCTCTACTCCCTCAAATTGAATTAAGCTAAGGAAGATAGGAATCCATTGGAATTTCCTGATAATAAGCCCTTTTTGTATAGACATTGTGGTGCAGTAGAATGTACTGTCTTGAGATCAGAAACAGTATGGTTCAAATCCCACCAATGACCTTTTTTTAGCACTCTGAAATTGGACAAATCCCTTAATCTCCCTTAGCCTCAAGAAGCTCCTTTGGACTTACAAAGTCAAAGATGCATTGGTAAGAGTTCCCTTACTCCCACATAAGACCTTTGCCTAGTTCCATCAAATCTTTTTTTTTTTAAATTTTTAAATAATTTTGTAGGCTCATGGTGAGGGGGAAGTGGTTTTAGGTGAGTTTCTCTGAACTCCAATAGCAATTCTGGCTTGTATCAGAGTCTAGCATTTAATTATATGTGCTTTGTATTATTCTCTGATTGCTTCATATGTATTTGTCACAATTTCTCACATAGAATAAAAGCTCCCTGATGGCAGGGACCATGATGGCAACTGTCCTCCTCCTCCTTCCCCTCCTCCTCCTCCTTCTTCTTTCTTCTATTTCTGCTTCTTCTTCCTCTCCTTCCTCCTCTTCTTCTTCTCTTCCTCCTCCTTCTCCTTCCTTTTTTTTTTGTGTGTGTACCAGAAACACTCAATAAATACTTGATTGCTTGAGTTGTCTTGAAGCCTCCTTCCTTTCCCAATCAAGTAGCTTATAGATAAGAGATAGATTTTTTTCTGAAATTAACCAATTGGATGACTGAAATACTTCCTTCCTGGTGTTTCCCCCAAAACAAAACAACCTAAGGAGGCAATAGGGGTGAGAGTGTGGTTTTGATGGCTCAAAAGAAGTAAAAGAGAGGATTGAAATGAGCTTCAATAGATTCGTTGAGACTTTGAGCTAGAAGGGGTTTTAGAGATCATTTAGTCTAATCATCCTGTTTTATAACATCTTATATTTATTTTAATTTTTTGCAAGTTTTATTTAAGCTTTGTGCTTTTTTACATGACTGTCATTCTTGGATATCAAAATCCTACCAGACTCCAGTGGAATGGAACCTTCTTTTATGATAAAGAAAAAATGGTTAATACAATTAAAGGAAATATTGACCATGTCTAATAATGTATGCAACAGTTTGCCCAAGTAATCTTCTGCTTCTCTGCCAGAAATAATAATAGCTAGCATTTATATGGTTCTTTAAGCTTTGCAAAATGTTTTGCATGTGTTAATTTGTTTGACCCTCAAAGCAACCCTCAAAGCACTAGGCAGTATTATTATATCCATTTTGCAGATGAGGAAAATGAGGGAGATAGAAGTTAAGGAACTTGCTCAAGGTCACACAGCTAATAGGTGTCTAAGGGAGAATTTGCTCTTCCTGACTCCCAGCCCTGTGCTCTCTCTACTACTCTTTCCACCTAGCTGTCATTAAGAGGAAAGTATCTGTCACGTTCCCTTTTTTCCCCCAGGACTATTATCACTATTATTGAGAGTTAGACTTCCTTTTAGTGATTTTTTTCATTTATATTGATGTAGTCATGATATAGATTGTTCTGTTTCTGTGTATTTCATTTTGTATCAATTTACAAAAGTT